ATTCTAACTTCCTATGTTTTGAACTTCAAAGTTGTCAAAAGGCCCGTTTTACCGGCGAGAAAATAAAGTCATGTGTGACTTTTAGAGAGTGATGGAATGGAGCTGACTTCTTGCCCTCGTCCTGAGTTCAGCCCACACTCCGAGTCACATCCTCACAATCCACACGGGGGTAGTGTGGATGGCACAGGAAGTGTTCGGAGGCCAGTTTCCGGTGGCCTGGCAGCATGGGGAAGAGCTCTTTGGCACGACACACTGAGGAAGGGGTTGCCAGAATTCTGGGCCATCTTGTTTCTCTCTAGCCATTTGAGGACCAAGTAGAGCTACAAGGGTGGGACTCGCATGCCCACCACGTTCTAGAGCACTGAGAAGCCCAGGCTTCCTTACCCAAAGGCTTGTTGCTCTGGTTAGAGAGCAATGGACAAGAATGCCTGGGCCAACCATGCCAACAAATTCAGCAATAACCTTATGTTCATAAATCCTCTGGGAAAGTTCCTAAGCTCTGTGCATAACAAATCATTCCGGGAGAAGGCAGGAAGGGGGATGACTTCTTTGAGAGAGGCTGTGATTCAAAATGCCCAGTCCTGCCTCACCTGTAGTCAATCAGCCTGACATTCACACAAAACATGACTGCTTTTCTTCTTTGGGGAGGTGACTGCTTGCAGAGCCTGAATAAACCCCCACCCAAGCACAAAGCCCAGAAAAAGGCTGTGCCCAGCACCAACTCAGGCAGGATTCGGTCAGCACTATGATTAACTTTCAAAGTTTTCTTAGAACAGATGGTGTATTTTGCACAAACCTTAGATCTCAAGGACTCTGCTGACTGCAGCCACACTAAATCCAAAATGTGAAGTCCTCATTTCACAGAGAGGACTGGGAAGCAAGCTGCTCCCCTACCCCCAGCGCCAGACAACGAAGGGAAAGCTTGCAGGTGGGACAGCCTCCTTCTAGCTTCAGAACTCTCAAATAATAGCTCGAATGGTCTTGTCTTGCCAGCAGCAAGTGAGGTCTATTAGCAAATTTGTGCTTAGAGGAGATGCTGAAAGCCAAGTCCTTTTGGAATTCTACTTCACCCGAGAGCCAAACAAGAGGACTGGACCAGTCACACAGAACAGAGTCACAAGTTCTAACAAACTGAACAATAGCTTTGAACATCCCAGAAAGCAAAGCACAGAGGGAAACCTAACAACAGTCAAGCAGAGAAGCCTGCGACAGATAATCCCACTGCACACAGGAGGAGCAAGGAAGGTGACACTGTGCATGGCCACCCAAGGAAAACAGCCTAGCCTCCTCTCCAACCCAACCGGCTCGTAAGCCCCATCTGGCTCACCAGAACAGCTAGTTCCAAAAAGTACATGAACATGGTACCAGTAATCCAGGGGGGAAAATGCACTGTTTGATCAACTTTCCTAAGTCTTTGGACTTTGGTGGTACTTGGGTGAAGAACAAGGGAAATGGCCCTGCGTGGTTCTGAAGCTAAAATCAGTCATTGCACCACAGGTTTGAGCTGACAGCCAACGTGCTGGAAATGCGGATGGGAGGAATGCTCGGAATCCCAGTTCCTGGCCTCAGACTTTTCAGTATGGAAATAACTTAACAACACACAAATGCTGGAGCAGAGTTCTCAGAGTAAATCACTCCCATACCTGCTCCTAGCCGTACTTAATGTTCACCTGGATTTATGAGATGATGGAGGCAGAGACGGTTTCTTGCAACTATTATATTATTTTCCCTTCCTCTTTTTACAATGCCAATTTTTTTTCACGTCTCTGTGAGGGGCCCAGGTAAGTGACTTAGCTACAGATGCTCACTGAGTCTGTCATTTGGTCCAATTTTCCAAATGTGAGTGCTGTTTTCTGCCTAGAACGGAAGCTTCATCTTTTAGCCATTTAGTTTTAATCTGGCCCAGAAAACAGATCTGTTTTCCCACATGCCTTTGGGAGTATTAATGCAGGGCCTCGCGGAGGACAGTGTGAGCTTCCTCTGCAGATGCAAGGGCCTCCTGAGCCCAGGTACACACCCCACTCTGTGTGCCTGTCTGGCACATTAGAAATCCTGAATTACTCACAGCTGGAAACGGATTCATTCGGGGAAGAGTGTCCATTCGATGTTATGATTCCATTTGGGTTAACACCTTGAAATTGCAGGCTGGCTTGCCTGCCTTGGGACAGGTAAGAAGTGATTTAAACAAGCTGAGAACACGACCCAACCTGGAATTTAAAACAATCACCCTGATGAGAAAGTTCTCTGCTGGGAGAGAAGGCGGAGCTTCCCAATTGTTTTAGTGAGGCTCATCCCAACCACCAGAATCCACTTGGAGTGATTTTCAGCTACAGTAAGGCTGCCTGATGGGAGGGCAGGGTGGGCCCAACAAGTGGCCCTTACAGGCTGCAGCTGAGCTGAGGGCGGTGCCTGCAGAGCTTCAGGGTTGCACTGTGGTTTTGGCTGTTTTAGGGTTTGTTTTTTCTTTTTTTTTTTTTTTATTGCCCCTACTTCAGTCCCAATGTTGTAGCACCAGGATCAGCTGACCACATGCTGCTGTAGTAAAATACGGCATGAGGCTGTGTTTATAAAATTTCCAACATATCCCCTTTTCACGCCCACCATGTCCCACACCAACCTCTCTAACTTTGAACAATGATGATATTTGGAGGAACTTTTCCTTTAGCCACAAACAAAAGGCAGACAACTTCAAGAACAATTGTTTTCTTTACTTTAAAAAAAAACCACCAAAAATCAAGGTCTCGCTCTGTCAGTCGAGTACAGTGGTGCGATCATAGTTCGCTGCAGCCTTGAACACCTGGGCTCAAGCAATCCTCCTGCCTCAGCCTCCCAAGCAGCTGGGACTACATGTGTGGGCCACCAACCCTGGATAATTTTTTAATTTTCATTTTTAATACAGGCCAGGTCTCACTATGTTGCCAAGGCTGGTCTTAAACTCCTAAGCTCAAGTGATCCTCTTGCCCCTTGGCCTCCCAAAGAGCTCGGATTTCAGGTGTAAGCCATCATACTTGGTCACACTTTTTTTTTTTTTTTTACTTTAAACATTTACGTTAGTTTTCATTTAAAAAATATATATATATTCAATTTTACAATAATACTTATTGTTAGGTATCTCTTTAAAGTTATGTTAAAGGTCAAAAACTTCTTGGAATTTGCAGCAATAACCCAGTAGGAAGTAAGAATGGTCTAGGCTTGAGGTAATAGAAATGGAAAATAAAGGGAAGATCTGAGGACTGTGTCTTAAGAAAGTTGATTGGGAGTGGAACAAAAGAGGGTAGGGAAGGAGCTGAGGGAGGGTGAAACATGCCTCTAACAGAACCAGGGGAGTAGGGCATGGTGGTGAGTTTGTATGGGAAAGCCCTGGGTATGGTTTCCAACATGTTGAGTGAGGAATAGCAGTGGTACGTTCAATGGGAACATCAGTAACAGCTAGAGGCTAGAGGCCAATATTTATGGCCGTGCAAGGACTAGATGTACAAATAAAGAAATTGTCTGGGTGGGCTTCACTCTTAAGCTATGAGAATGTATGGGTTTTCTGAAGAGAAGGTATAAACAAAAACTAACTGAGAGTGGATACATCCAAAAGACAGGGAGGCAGAGTTGGACACCCAGAGAGGTCAGAGAAAGGCCTGGACGTTCCACGTAAACCACTGGCTCCCTTTTTGTCTCTCAACAGTTTATTTCACTGCATTTCCAATGGAGAAAAATATTACTAGTATAACCACTTTCAATTATTCCCTGTTAACTGAAGAGGCCCAAATAAAATTATCATTAATAGCATGTTTAATGGACATTAATTCATGTCCATATGTGGACATGAATATGCTTTATGAATATGTAAGTCCTTTGATTATTACCATCCCCAGTCACAACTGAACAGGAAATACTGGTGCAAGAAAACACGATTTTACTCTGCAATATTTCCAACACAAATAGTCTTTCCCAAAATTAATGTCCAGCTTCCTCTAGCAATCATCATGATAGAAATAAAATAGGGTCCAAACATTCTCCAGTTCCTCCTACTCCTCCCACTCTGTAGCTTGAAGGGAGACATTAGTACCTCTGATGATAACACCACAGGCATGACATGAATGAGCAACCTTTCTAATTCAGACTCCAGCCTCTGAAAACCTTGGGCCAGTTCTCAAGAAGACATCAGACAGAGACTTCTATCTTGCCAGAACAAATGTCCTGTCATAGCAAATATAAATAAAACCTGTGATAAATAATTTAAATAATTAATACTGAACTCAGAGAACAATGAAATCTGCCACAGGCTAGGAGACATTCGTCTGAAATTACTGTCACAACCACCTCCCCCCTTCACTTTGCCTGATAACACTGGTTGAAGACAGAGCCACCAGCTGCCAAATAATCAAGCACTCAAAATTGAATCCCCAGTCGCAAGAGATAAAATACTTTTTTTTTTTACTGTGAAAATTAGCTTGTAAGGATTCATCAATTAAGATCCAAATAACCCGAATATGCAAACTCACCAAGGGAGATGATGAACAAATATCTGTCACCATCTCAGTCAGTATTCCTCTAAGAAGCTGTCAGCTTCCTGAGCTTCTCTTATCATCCACATCAAACACTTAATATTAAGTGTTCACTCTTTGCAAGACAATAGACTATGTATATTGCAGCTTTCAGGATACCCTGTCTTTTCACCAAAAAAACCCCCAAACAAACCAAAAATGAACTCCTATGAGTTGAAAAGAACCCCACTCCATTTTAAAGTTGAAGCAGAACCCGAGATCACATTCATTCACATATGTGGAAGTAAATACCAACTCTGAATAATCTCTGCTAAGATTGTACTCATTATTCCTAAATCCTAGTGACCTAAAACACATGAAATAGCTTCCAGTTTATCCACTGGTTTAGTCATTCCCCTGAGTGGGATGCAAAGATCAAGCCAAATTCCCTTCCAGCGTCAAATTCCGCCTAAGATGAGGGCATAATTTTAACCTACAAGGAGAAAGTTGAACGTGATTTACATTTGTAGTGCACCGAAATGGGAGGACAAAAAGAATCCTTCTAACATAAGCCTTAGGGTTTTCAGTCATTGCGGTGGTGGAAGAAAGAGGCTGTCATCTCCAATATCATTGTCAATGGGTGTTTCCTTTCAGTCATGCTGATAAAAAAAAAAAAAAATGAAAAGATCAAAAGCAGCCTCATCTGCTAGGATTAAGCAAACATGGGGACATTTTCAAAACCTGGATAAAACCAAGTTTAGGTTTCAGAATATTCTTTTTCTCCACACTTCGCGGGGGAGGGAAGGATTGTTTTACACAAATACCAGAGAAGCAACATGTTAGCATAACCGGAAATGTGAATGTGCAGCTGTTGCAAGTTTGTTCAACTTGGCATCTTTTATTTTCCATCCAGCACCACTCATACCTTCCCCACGGAGCAGCGATGCTGGCTAGCGGCTGATAGGCACAAGACAGTGTAAGAAGGCAAAGTGCCTCTCTCTCCGCACCTTCTTGCCCAAGTGATGGGTGGCATCGGGTAACATGATTTCCAGATACAGAATTTAATCAGATTAAACAGCCCGCTTTGCGGAGCTAAGGCTGACCCCACCATGCCCTGTTCTGTGACTCCTGTTGAGCTGGGATCCAAGATCTTAAGATTGTAGCTTGTCCCTTGTTCCGTGTATTAAACAGTCAATACTCTCTGGGGATGGACTTCACTTTTAATCATTTTCATAGGAATTCTAGAGCATGGAAATGTCCTAATTTCCTATTGCTGCATAAGCATAATGAGTCCGATTTAGGTCCTATGGGAGAATAACAACACTCAGCACTTATACACCACACTTTTCATCTTCAGGGTCTCTAACCATGTTAGGCTGTAATGTTATATTTCTCTTAGCAAGACAAAGGAGTTCATTTCTAGTCCCTTCAATTACCCTTCCTTCCTTACACACACACAAACACACACACCCCCCCCACCATTATTATATGATGAAGCTATTTCCCACCTCCTAGATGTGCATTATGCAATTTCTTTTTTTTTTTTTTTTTAGTCATTAAACATAAAAGGAAAATTCACCTACGTCTTTTTTTCTTTTTCTGTTACTTGACTTCATTCTTCATACCTCATGGTCTCCTGCGTCATCTCTGGCCACTGAGGGGAGTGCAATCCTCTGTGTCAGAGAATTCTGGAAGACTCTGCCCAGCTCATGCTCAGACTTCTCTACTTCATCTCTATTCACTTCTGGCTCAGGTGACTCCACCCAATCTCAAATATATAAACACGGTTTCTACATTAGTGACTCCCAAATCTGCATCTCCAGGCTGGTCTTCCCCCTTGAATTCCAGACCTATATATCCATCTGCTGATCCAGCATCTCCACTTAGCAAATCTAAAAGGAAACCCCCAATGTTCCCCTTAAACCCACTCCTCTCATAGGAAATCCCATCCTTCCAGTTGCTCAGGCCAAACACCTGGGTTCATCCTTAATCTTGCTGCTTCTATTACTTCCCAGTCTAACCCGTCAGCAAATCCTGTTGGCTCTCTCTTCAAAATGTATCCAGAATTTTCCCACTGCCTCCATCTCCACCTTGAGTCAACCTGCTATCATCTCTAATCTAAATTCTTTCAATACCCTCTCAACTGGTCTCTCTCTCTCAGCCACTGCCTTTTGATAGTTTGCTTTCAACTCAGTGGCCAAAGTGATCTTTCTAAGACGTAAGTCAAATCCTGTCACTCTTCTGCTCAAAACTGTCCTGGCTGGGCATGGTGGCTCATGCCGGTAATCCCAGCATTTTGGGAGGTTGAGGCGGGCAGATCACTTGACTCCAGGAGTTTGAGACTGGCCTGGGCAACATGGTGAAACCCCATCATTACAAAAAAATGAGCCGGGCATGGTGGTGGGTACCTGTCATCCCAGCTACTTGGGAGGCTGAGGTGGGAGGATCACCTGAGCCCAAAAGGTCGAGGCTGCAGTGAGCCAAGATTGCACCACCACACTCCAGCCTGGGCAACAGAGTGAGAACCTGTCTCAAAAAAACAAAAAATTGTCCTATAGTTTCACTCAGTTAAAGCCAAAGCCCCTTAAATGGTATACAAGGCCCCGCAGGATCTGCCCTCCCAGACCCAGCTTTCTAGCCTTATTACACCCTCTTTGGGTCCCTTTGTAATTCCTCCAACATGCAGAACACCCTCCAGCCCCAGGCTTTTGCACTTACGTGCTTTCAGCTTGGAACATTCTCCCCAGTACGTACCTGGTTCAGGCCTCCTCCCACTTTGGGTCTCTGCTTACACATCTACTAACCAGTGATGCCTGCCTGACCACCCCCAGCAAGCCCTGTGCCCCTTCCCTGCTACATGTTTCTGCATCACACTTATCACCATCTGACATGTTATACATTTTTTTTTTCACATATTTATTGTTTCTCTTGCCCCCTAGAGGTAAGCTACATGAAGGCAGGTATTTTTGTTTGTTTTTTATCATCTTTATTCAGAGGTATATTCAACAATGCCTTGGACAGTGCCTGCCATGTGGTGGGCACTTGAAAATATTTCTTGAATGAAAAATGATAAACAAAAGTTTCTTACATGTTTCAGGATATGAGCTAGTCTGAGTTCTAAGCCACTGGCAAGTTGAGATTTATGATACCTGATAGTGAATTACAACATGCCTTTCTAAGGGGAAACAATCCTCTTACTAAAGATTTATGAGGTTATAAGCTTCTATTAATATGGAAATTGAGGCTATTATGGAACGTATTGTCTACTACATATAGTATTAATACAGATAATGAGGCCTTTCTCCAGTGGACATAACCTGCTTACAGCCTGCATTGATTCTATATACACATTGGGACGCTTCTGGAAAAGGATGCTGGGATTAGAGACAGAGTCTGTGAAACAGACTTTTCCCCAGTGGACAGCCACATGGGCCAAGGAAGGATCAATTCTCTATTTGCTCTTTAACAGAATTTTCTAGACCAACTGCAGCTAGAAGTTTTAAAGGTGGTGTGCAGAACCAGCCCAATCTTTCCAATATTTTTGTATAAGACACATAGAAAGTTCTAGCAAGAACCTTCTTTAGCCAAATTCTCCAGATAAATTAATCCATCTTCCACTTTACTAAGACCTAATGAGGGAACCAATGCAAGTCTAGAGACTCAAAGGAAAAGAAATCGGAAGAGAGCTAGAGATGTAGAATTAAAAAATAATAACAATTGTCTGAATGTAGACCAAAAGGAAAAAGAAGAGAATACTAAAAATTGATAAGATAGGCACTGAATAAGAACCTGTGTTTCTTCTTTTTAAGCAGGGAAAGAAGAGCTGGGGTGGCAAGATGCCAAGGATGTTGACAGCTGGAAAAACCTGGTCAAAGGGGTAGGTAAAAGAATATTGTCAGGTAGGGGAGCATTACTCCTACTCCTCATTTCCCTGACCAGTGACTTCCAAAGAAATGCCAGAGCCAAAGCCACCAACGCAGCCCTCTTTGCTGCCAGAGGAGTCATTGTGGTTTACACCTCAAGAGAATGCCCTCTCGTGTAACCATGGCCACCTGAGGCTATATTTGGCTTGGTTTGAATGGGGCAAAGGAAGAAGAAGCTTCAACAGCCTGAACATTGTCCAGCCTCCCATGCGTGCAAGTGAGGCTGGGGCATGAGATGGTGGTGTCCTGAGATGCTGGCCCCAGACCATGGGGAGGCTGGCTGTTCCCCACCCACACACCTATCATGAAAGCATCACACAGCTATGAGCAACACTTAAAAGAGAGAAAATAACATGTTTCTACAGCTGCAATAGTTCCTTTTCTTACTTTGGTTGCTTAATTATTTTAATTTTTAAAATTTGATTATCTATACTCTTTTTCAACCCACAAGAAATTTAAAGCAACTCATAAAACATGTACAGCATGACAATGTTTTTTAAATTAAAAATCAGAACCAGAGAAAATATAAACTAGAACTGAAAGTCTGGTCTAGGGAGGAAGTAAAATATGCTCATCACAATGTTTGAAAAAGTTCTCAAAGTTTAGCAGTAAACTTGGCTTTGTGTTAACCTAGCAGTCAAAGCGAAAAGAGAAACAGAACCAGTTACACGATTCTCATGTCCATGAGGAGAAAAATATTTCAGTTCCTCAGGGGAAGCAAACCATTTCCTGGAATTCAGATCTGCAAGAATTTCCTCATACAGGGCTTCATATAAGAAATCATGAATAATGCAATGGAGACTATCTAAAACCACACCCCGACAATGGGCTTCATGAAACTGTTCTAGGAAAAATGCCTTTAGTAAAATCAAGGGCACACACTTGAGGTAAAACCATTCTATCAGAAATGAAGACAATATGGACAAAATACACATCTTTCTTATAGTTCAGTTTAAGAAGCCAGCTTTGACTATCTAGAGGAATGAATGAACTTAATTCCTTAGTCTTCTACATACATGTCTATCAAAAAAACTAAATTTGCTACTCAACCAAAGGAAGTTGACTAGATGATGAGAATTTCTTCCTCTCTTGCATGCTATTTTCATGGTTTAAAAAATATATATATATATAAAATATATGTATATTTCTTTTGCAACAAAATATAGAATGCATGTCTTTTATTTTTATTAATTTTTTAAAGTGCTCAGAACTTTATTATTTGACTGGCAAATAATAGTTGCTGTATAAGTGCTTGTTTGAAAAAGAAAAAAGGCACTTCGTATCCTTTGAGAGGGGAGTGGAGGAGACAGTCAAGCATACATGACAAATGAATTATAAATAAATAAAACAAGTTGACTGAGATTTTATGCCCCTCTTGTAAGCATCACCTACTTTCATGGTTTTTCCTGAAGCTGTACAGGCTAAATACAAGCCCTTGACTATTATGACATGAGAATGTGACAGGAAAAATCTGGTGGAGGGGGGATTATTATAATTTCACATAGACAAGGACTAAAAGGATTTTGAAACACTTAGAGAAATATCAGAACCTTTTAAAATTTCTTTTCCGGATGGAACAGCTGGACTTCAGAATTCATTACTACCTAACTGGTCTTTCCTTTCAATCACCTTTCACATTCTGAATTTCTGTTCACAGACTGTATCTAATTTGTTTCTTAATACAATGTGGGCATTGAATAATGCTGTATGATAACAATGAACAAAATACCAAAAAGCATCCTCATCACATTGACTTGTGACCACCATCTCCTTTCATGAATCTTGTAAAGTGATTTTAAATTTCAGCACATTCCCATAAAAACCGAATATATTCTGAAGGGTTTCATAAAGTGATTTTCCTACATTTTTAAGAACAAATGATTCACAGTTGTACTTAACCTATTTGTTTCAGCAACAACAGATGTTCAATACTAGGACAAGGTAATATGACCAGGAAATAATTATGAATTTGGTGCAGAATGACTGGAAAGATTATAGAAAACAGACAGTTACAACATGGGCCAAAGTCTGATGAAATCCTCTCTTCTACCATGAAGATTACTCGCCTGTTCTCTCACCCATTGACTCTATTCTTCTGCACTCACTGCTCACTTAAGGTTTGCTATTAAATACTTAGCAAAGTAAAACAACTGGTGGGGAAAAGAAAAAATCTATAAGTTTGACTTTGGTTCAAGATTCTGAATTTTTTTTTCTGCTAGAATTTTGTATTTCAGATACCTATTTTTCACATGATTTATCTAGCTTTGAATTCTGCCATAATCAAGGAATAATCATTTTTTTTAAAATGTTAGACAAATACTCACAAATGGCTAAAATACTTCAAGGCCACATCAACACAATCTGCAGTGCAGAGACACCTAGTTTCCTCGTGGAAGTTTCTAGCAGGACACCTCTCAAGGCGTCCATCCAGGCAAACCTACCCGCTTGCTGCTCTCCTCCTCCTGGGCCTTCCTGAACTCATGCTCCAGGGAGCAGTCGAGCTCGCTGAAGAGGCCCACCTCTTCGCAGTTCTTCAGGAATCTCGTTGGGGTTGGAGTTTGATCTGAAAACAGAGTCAGAAAGCTAATAAATGGGTCTTTTTTCTCAAAAGCCAGTAGCAAGCATGAGCTAGATTCACTAATCCCCTCCCCTTGCCTTAATTAAAATGTCCACTAGCCATCCACAGTCTCTTGACCCTTTAAGTAACATGACGATATGCAAGAAAATAGCACCGTAAATTCCGAAGCAGGAATACAGTAGACAGCGGGCTGCAGTCTGCGAGGGCTTGCCGAACTCCCTCCAGACAGCTTCAGGAGATCTCACTCTCCGCTTGCCTGAAGTCTGTACCATTTGAATACACAATGAAACATGTGGAATGACCCTCTTTCTTTATTTATTTTAAACTTGAAAAAGAAAATGATTTTTGCTAAAATAAGGCCAAAAAAAATCTGACCCAATGGTAAGCCTGACTTCAGGGGGCTGGAAAGAAAAAGGATTTTGCAAATTCTTAGAGTAAACAAAAAGAAACAAACAAGCATGTTAATTCCTTTTTCTTAATGGAGAAAGTAAACTTAACAATTCTATCTCTCTTCCTGAAAATCATAGAGGGATGATAAAAGGTTCCAAGTCAAACACATTCAGCTTTCATCCTTTAAAAATGTCATTATTAATTTTATTTTCCTTTGCTATAGCCAAAAAAAAAAAAGAATGTTCTTTAAATGCTCTTTAAAAGGAAAAGAATTTCTTTCACATTTTTGACTCTACAGAGCTTTCTACTTATAAAACTGAAGAATCTGAAGCCATTATTTGTAGCTTAATATATATGCAGCATTTGCAGTTAATAAAATATTTTCATACAATTCTTGAGAAT